GAGCGAACGGCTTTTTTTCTGGAAAAAGAATAAATATGGTTTGCGCTAAACGTGCAGTATTGGAGCTCACGTAGTATTTAGAAATCAATGGGAAAAAAGTTCCAAAGGCAGGAGCGAAATCAGCCCCCAGGCAATTGGCCAACGCAGCAACGAGGTCGCCGGCAGATGAAATAAGGACAGATTCGTATTCAGCCTGGTCCTCAGGAGCTTCTTCGTCCTCGTCCTGGTCTGGGTCTTGTTGACAGAACGCCTTTTGCTCGAGAATTTGAATTGCAATATTTGATATCGTTTCGAGGTCTCTGAAATCTAGTCAGCATAAGGCAAGGCTTTCACCATTGGTGACGTACGGCCTTCAATAATGCAGGGCCGATTTTATTGATGGTCTCGGCGAAGCCTACGCATAGAGAAGAAACGACAGATCTGAAGATTGTAATTAGCAACTCGGGAGATGTAGTAACGCGGGAGCTCTAACATACTTGTTATCCTCGGTTTCATACATATCCAGAAGGGGACAAGCGCATGGTTTATTAATTCTTTCACACTGGGGCTAAGGGGCACGACCTGGACACAGCATCAACACGGGTTATATCAACGCGGGTTGTTGCTCCCCAGAAACCTAGGCTTACCACATTTCTACCAGGCTGCCACTCTGGATGATCACTCAGATCATAAAAGGTACGAACAATTTCCAAGAGGGAGTCGGTGGCACTCTTCCTGATGCCTTCATAATAATGCGGCAACATGTTGACGAGCTCCAGCGCACACTGCTCGACGAAGGGGAAAAAGTGGCCTTGAGTAGCGGCAAACAGGGTCCCGATAGTGTCCGCGGCAATCTCTTTCTCGACGGCGATTGCGCTATTCACATCCATCATTTTATCGAGATCGACGTCTTCCAACTCAACCGATGGGTTACCGTTGGCGTCAGTCTCGTCTGCTACAGTAATGGCATTTGACGGAGATGTGCCGGACGCGAAACCAGCCACAACACCGGGGTCGGAAACTGATTAGACATATGCATAAAAACCTATACGTATCGGAGAATAAGATTGGAGGCTCACGAGTAAGGGTCTCTTCGCCGTGTTCAGCCTGGTTACAGCTCGCCAAGAGTGGTGGCACGACATTGGGGAGGTACACAGCGAACTCTTCACCAAAAACGCGAGCCATCACCCCGAAAAACAGGAAACTGCACTCCCTTAACCTGGCACTACCCATTTCAATCCCTTGGAACGCTTGTTTCATCATGTCCGGGAAATATGGCCTGAAGACGTCTTTTCCGACCGCTTCTGCAAATGTCCCAATTGCATCCATGGTGATTCCACGAAGTTCAATCTCTTCACCCTCGCCTGTTAGAAGCAAGAAATGTTGAAGGTGCCGCATAGTTGGTTCAAAATAGGGTAGGAATCGCTCTTTGGAAGCATGTGCCGCGCTTCCAATGGCCCCAGTCACAACAGTCTTGACAGGTAGGGGTGCTGTCTCCAAAAGTCCAGCAAGGCGTTCCATGATAAGTTGGAGATATTGATCGATCACGTCGTGGAGGATCTCGAGCAGGGCGTCAAGAGCTGTGCAAGCGGTTCTTTGCGTTTCGGGATCATTGATGAGAGTCATAATGCCCTGCATTCATGAGTATGAGCAAAGCCATTATTAATATCATGACCCACCGGAATAAGGACGGCGTGTTTGGAAACACACTCCTCCTCCAACCATTCACACAAGCAACTGACTGCTACACAGGTCGCTTTCCGGACGCTCGCGTCGCCGTCTTGGAGACCCGCGTCAATTATTGGCCATACTTCTCCCATCAGCGGTGTCATAAATTCACTGCATCCTTCTACGGAAACACCCAAAGCCAGCATCGCACCGCGTCTAAGAGCGGGGTCCGGGGATCCGAAGTATTGTTGGATGAGAGTGCGTAATGCGGGGAAGACTTGTGTTGGTGGTAGATGGGTGGCAAGGCCATCTATGATTCGTAGGGCAGACTACAACAGGTGGGCGGAGGGTATAATCCGGGAGACGAGGTACGTACCCGAGAAGGAGCATCATCATCAATATCTTCCGGCTCTGCTTCTGTAGCAATAGGCATCAAGCCCTCTAGGATAGCGGGCGCAAGGCCATGGCTCTGAAGCTTGGACTTTTTACTAGGATGATCGTCAAATATGAAAAAGATCTTTGGGAATTAATTCGCTCACTATTGAACAGTCCAGTTGAGGGCATTCAGAGCAAGGACACGAAGCTCGCTTTCAAACGATCGGTTACCGCCACACTGAAGGAGAAATTGTGCTAATTCAGGGATGTGTTTGCCGAGGATGGGAACTTCCTGTAAGGATGACCCCTTCAGGGACGAAACAGGGGTTTAACCATATCCCAGCTTACAAGAATCAGCAATGTCTCCAGAACATCAAATAGTTGACGTGCGCCAGCCTCATTTGCAGCCTCAACACATTGCCCAATAACTTGAATCATAGCAGGTAGAAGATTTTGGAATGATTTCTAGAGCATCATTTAGATTTAGGGTAGCCTGCTGAAAGCGGCATTCAAACGCACGAGATCGTTTTTGTCATCGGAGTCAATGTACTGGGCGATGACACCAAGCGCCCTAGTGGGACTTGAGATTCAACTTGCTTCAGAATGTCATATTTACGTACCTGACCGTAGTTATTCTAACCTCAAGACTTTCTGGGTCTGCCAACAATTGCTCGAATAGCTTGAAGAAGCTTTGAAGGTGCTCTTGGAAACCCTCCACAATATTTTCCAGGACCGTGAACAGAATAAATGTCCCGACCTCGCGGTGTACAACCTGTTGGGATACACACGTTTGGTGGAGGAAGGGCAAGAGCTGGGACCATGTTCCATGGGGGATCTCGATCGTTGCAATGGCGGCAACAACGCGTGCTGCAGAATGCCGCACAAGATTGCTAAACCGGGGCTAGTTGATTAGTGGCCAGGAGAAACGAGCCAGGTCGTGATCTTACTTTGGTTCGGCGAGGATAAGCTCCGGGAGCTTTGATTTGATTTGTTCGCGTTCATCTTGGGTAACATCGTCCAGAGGTTGCCGCTGTTCTGCGCGACGCGTTTCCTCATCTCCACTGCAGCAAGTTGGCGAACCTGATACCGATCGCATCAGAATCAATGCTTAATGTGTTCGGAAAGGGCGCACAGGCTGTTCCGGAGAGCTAGCAATGATGCTGGCTAGGGCAGATATACATGCCGGATTCTTGTAATAATTCTGATTCAGTTGCGTTGTTGCCTGTAAACCAGTTAGATCCGAGGCATAAAAAAGCCACATTCGGCTTACAGATTTGACTTGGGAGGTCTCATTTGATGTTGTCTGTGCAAGCAAATTGTGCAGCTGTTGCACAAAAGTTGGCTACAAGAGATAACGATGAAATCAGTTTTTGAGATCAAATAAGATAGTGAATCCCTCACATCCATCTGGTCTGTCGGTGATCAGGGAGCGCAAGTGGGTTGATCTAAGAGCAGGACAAGAATTGTAACAGGTGGATTGAGCAGCAACAATTTTTGTCGGAGTTGTCCGTTTTATCTATTGCCTGATTTGTGTCTGTCACAACCTCGTGCTCACACTGTTATCTTAGGCTAATCGATCGATCATCGTGTATCGTCATGTGGGTCCAATTTTTGTTGTCAGATAATCTGGAGCCTGGATCAAGTGGTGATCTCTGACTTTATATGTAGGACTACGAGATATAGCTGTTTCGGTAAACAGTGAAATTTGAATATTGAACGTTGGCGACTCTTTTACAAAATATCCCTTGTGGCATATGCTGTCGTTAGCCTCACATTGTTCTGTTCCTTTGTGGCTCGCGGGTTTTCCCCAGTGGTTTGGGCCACCAGCAACTGCAAAATTTATAAATGGGGTGGGCGAGTAGCTCAAATTATATTCACTGCTCAGGCCTACCAAGTTTCCGCACAATGTTCTGCCTCTCGCGCCACTTCCACAACATGCGCCGCCCACTTCGCGCACATGTCCTTAAGTCTCTGTACGATATCTCACATATGGTTGTGAGGTAATCTAATTTTTATCACAGACGTTCGAATCGGACGGAACCGTCCTTCAAGCGGTTTGCTAGCCTCAGGATCCGACCGTCAAAACCCAACCGTTCCCTGGGGCGGAGGGTCGTCCTGCTTTGGAAGCGTGTCCGCCAGCCGCCACGCCCCCGAAACTCACGCCGTTTCTCTTTCATGCCACCCGGCTTCGTTGCTGTATCAACTGTGCGGGTCAAATCGATACAAGCTCCGACATGTTCCTCTTAGGGGAAGGTGTTGAGCCCACGCTCTTCAGTATTTACTGCCATCTATATGTTATTTTTAAGCATAGCTCAACAATATAAGATGTAGTCTCAAACACAGGCTATATTTTGTAGGAATGGAAAAGTCAAGACCATACAGCACATGCCGTCGAATTATAACCTGGTGCCTACCATATTATCCAAGCTGTTGATGGGAAGTATATAGGCGCGGCCACCCAGCATGGTGAGATGGCCGAGCGGTCTAAGGCGCCAGACTAAGGATCAGGACATTAGATGTCCACAGGAACGGAGCGTTTACGCAGAGTTCATCTGGTCCTCCGGGGCGTGGGTTCGAATCCCACTCTCATCAAATCTTTTGGGTGTGTCATCTGTTTTTTGTAAATATTTATTATCATCCGAAATTATAAGACCAGTCAATCCAAGCTGATTGATTATCTGTGAGTACCGCAGCTACCGCAAAAAAGACGTTCGCAGCCACGACACCTGGAGTTGGAAGGTAGAGGACGGCAAAAGATCTGATGAGAGTGGGATTCGAACCCACGCCCCGGAGGACCAGATGAACTCTGCGTAAATGCTCGGTTCCTGTGGACATCTAATGTCCTGATCCTTAGTCTGGCGCCTTAGACCGCTCGGCCATCTCACCATGGATCCAGGTGCCACTCCACCCACCCATATTTACATCAAAGTTTCTACGCCCTGATTAAACAGGGGCGTCGGAAACAAGAGCAAAAGATCTGATGAGAGTGGGATTCGAACCCACGCCCCGGAGGACCAGATGAACTTGCATATAATGCTGGTTCCTGTGGACATCTGATGTCCTGATCCTTAGTCTGGCGCCTTAGACCGCTCGGCCATCTCACCAATGAGGAGATGATGCGATGTGTGCGCCTCATCAGGACAATCTAACATCGCTGACGTAATAACTCGGGCTGATGGCCTTGGTAAATAACACTTACCAACAACTACCCGACCATTTCCCGTTCTGCGGGTCGGACTCGGCGACAAGTCACCCACAAGCTAAAATGCTAGTCTTTCGCCATGTAGGCGCTTATAGGGGCCCCTACATGCTTAGAAACTTTTACCACCCTCCTGCATCTCGCACTCTCTTTACCCGGGCTCGCCAAACTCCCCCTTCACCTCTTCGCACTGGTATCTACGGAACCCTATTCTTGGTTTCTTCCGGGTTGTTTGCGGTATATTATTTTGATGCACGTTCTGCAATACACCGCTATGTACTCACACCTCTTATTCGATACACCCTCGACGCGGAGTCTGGGCACAAGTTTGCGGTGAAAATATTGCGAAGTGGGTTGGGTCCTAGGGATCCATTGTCGGACGATGAGAGGCTAAAGACTGAGGCATGTTCTATCATTCGTCTCCTCAGTCCCAGCTCATATCTGTAGCTTTGGGGGCAAGAAATGTCTAACCCCATTGGATTGGCTGCTGGCTTTGACAAGGATGGCGAAGCTATTGATGGTATGTTTTTCCAAGTAGAGCTGGATCTCTTACACGTGCTAAGGCGACATAGGGCTCTTCAATCTTGGGTTTAGCTGGGTGGAAATAGGCAGTGTTACTCCCAAACCTCAGGTTAGTGGCGGGATGGCACAGGAGTGGACACAACATCATATCCTATGGTTAGCCAGGCAATTCTCGTCCTCGAGTTTTCCACCTTCCCGAAGATTCAGCTTTGATTAATCGCTATGGATTCCCTTCGCAAGGGCACAACTCGGTGCTATCTCGAATACGTGCTCGCCTCCCGGTGTTTGGTTCGCTAGGTGATACTGCCGCGCTGAAGGACGGTGCATTGTTAGCTATCAACCTTGGGAAGAACAAGGAATCGCCGGTAGAATCTATAGACGACTTTGTCTCTGGCGTTCGCGCGTTCGGACCGTACTCGGATGTCCTTGTGGTTAACGTGTCAAGTCCCAACACGCCAGGTTTGCGGTGCGTCGACTCAAGTTACTGGGCGATGAAAGTCTTACCCGTGCTCCAGTGGACTGCAGAACCGGGACCTCCTAGAAGATCTTTTATCAGGAGTGACCAAGGCGCGTGATGAGCTTGCCCCGTCAGCTCTGACATCCCGAAAACCAAAACTCGTTCTTAAAATCGCGCCGGACTTGAATGAATCTCAGCTGGTGGAAATTGCAGAGGTCATTCGACATAGTGGCATTGACGGTGTTATTGTTAGCAATACAACGGTGCAGCGGCCAAAGAGCCTCATCAATTGTACGCCCTCATCCTCTTGGTGTGGACCACGCGCTGACTGGGTTTATCAGCGAATAAATCCGAGATTGGAGGTTTATCTGGGGCCCCAGTTCAACAATACTCGATCGCCGCGCTTCGAACACTGCGTAAACAGCTTCCTGCATCGATCCCACTGATCGGCTGTGGGGGTATCTCCACCGGGGCTCATGCACTAGAATATGCCAAAGCGGGCGCTTCGTTTGTTCAGGTTTACACCAGCTTCGGGTATGATGGCGTAGGCACATGCCGCCGCATCAAGGATCAATTGACAGCCACACTGGAAAAGGAAGGCAAGACGTGGAATGAGGTCGTAAAAAAGGCTGTGGATGAGCTCAGCCTCAAACCGGTAGAGGAAAAGCCCAAGCCCACCAGTGTCCAACAGCTGATATCGGAGGCGGAGGAACTGGCTAGATTTTTGGATGACCTTGATTCCAAAGTTAGTGCAGTGGAAGGGTGTTGAGATAAGATTAGATGACATGCACTTACATAAATTAATTATGGTGACCGATCAATTTTGGTTTCAGCGCCATCACTGGGCTATGATTGCTCTCACCAGTTGATGTTCCAAAAAAACCCTGCTACTGTTGAAAGAGTTGGGGGTTCGTCAAACATGGCAGAGTCTCCGAATAACTGTAGCTCGTCGCACCTCGATTACCCGCTTTCTCCGCCTTTCCCCTTCAATCCACAACCTTCTCGGATATCCTCCGGAACAAGACCCCTTACACAGACCTTTGAAGAAATCCGATACAAGCCAGGGAGCCACATTATGATTGACTCTGAAACCGGTGTAGAGCTCACAAAGCATGTTGACCTTTGGTTTGGCGACGGCAGCGTCATATGCCGTGCGGAGAATACGTTGTTTCGTGTGCATATTTCTATGCTGTCAAGACATTCAGAGTGCTTCCGGGACATGTTCTCAATCCCGCAGCCCCAGCCCAGCAACATTCACTCAGACGCGGGGGACCTGCAAACGACACCGGTTGTGCATCTGCATGACTCGGCTGAGGATGTGGGAAACCTGTTCTCTGCGCTGTATGATGGCCCGTACGTTCGAGTCTATCTTTCCTTTATCACCGCATGCTAAACTGGCATCAGCAAATTTGGGAGCAATGATGAACAGGATTTCCGGATAGTGTCAGGCATCCTACGACTATCGACAAAGTACATCTTTGAATCCTTACGCACCATGGCGCTTGCACACCTCAGTGTAGCATGGCCGGCCACGTTGAAGGCTTGGGATCTTCGGGAAGACAGGGCTCGGACTTTTGAGGTGGAGCAGGATATCTCGATGCCATCAAACAGGATGTTCCTGTATCCTCATCCGATAGTACGCACATGCAGCCTTACCCTCATCACCTACTCAACCCCGAGATAGGCTGTCATCAACCTCGCTCGAGAGGTTCACGCGCCGTCTCTCTTGCCGGCAGCGTTCTATGACCTTGCCCGCTGGTCGTACTCGCAAATATTTGACGAGGAAGCTCCGACCTCCCACCGGCTGCCCCCAGTCCCCTCGCTCAATCTTGCGGCTCCTGATCTGCAGCGCCTGTGCCTCGGGAAAGAAGCCGCACAACACGCGATAACCTCGTTGATCCAAGCGATGGGAAACACGCAATATTCGCGCCCGGTTCAGCATCACAGCGCAATGTCACACATGCGCCGGTCGTCTGCTTTGGGCGTGTGCGTTTCCGCTGCCGCGTGTCGGAAAGACTTTTCCGAACTCGTTGACCTAGCGACTCAGCACTATCTGTTTGACCGCGAGCGCGGGAGTAGCGACCCGCTCTATGTTGCGGACGAGCTTGGGCAGCTGAAAAGTGCAGAATTCTCGGAATGCAAGGCGTGTGCAAAGTCTTTGGAGTCGTGGGCTGCCAGGGAGAGAGAGAGGCTGTGGAAGCTGATTCCGAGTTGGTTCCGGCTGGAACCCCTGGAGCGCGCCATGTCAAACGCTGATTGCGAAAATGAACCGGACGACTGACTGTGTCGAGGATAGAGGTTGAGAGCATTGTGAAATAATACAAGGGTCGTCGTGCGGGCACCAGCACAACTTTGACTCGACGCACACTGCACTAGTTACGATGTATAATAGACCCCTCACTGACCCTGTTGAGGTTTCCTGTGTACTCAATTATTGTATTTTGGTCCTGGGCGCCTCAAAAAGCCTAATTCACAGCGTGACCACCGGGATATCATCATTGAGTGCTTGAATCAAACACCATTGTTCTGCTGATGGTTGCGATATTAATAAAACAAAGACTCCCATGATTCGCATGCTCGCCGGTGACGGCGGGCGACGGCTATGTACCCCCGGATTCTCGCCTTCGCAACGACAAAGGACGGTCACAATGATATTGGACTCGGCACGCCCGTCCATTGTTTCTATCTGACCCATATGCTCCCGTCGCAAGAAGCTCAAGGTGTGCCACTTTTTACACACTTGGCTCCACCGGCTGGCTATCCGCACACACATAAAAGCATGCTGCCCCCTTGGCGTTTGTTTCTTATACATCTCCGCCTCCACCCCCCGTTCTTTACCTCGCTGCAGATACTATTATTTGGGCCGGCCCTCCCATATTAAATTCTTGTACATCTTCCCATCGTTCAAGTGCTCGACGCATCCATCACGATGGTTCATTTCTCAACTGCCCTTCTCGTTTTCGCCATCAGCACTGGCGTTAACGGCGCTCCACTCGCCAAGCGCATTGCCCAAGTCATTTCCGCCTCCACAACTCAATGGGAAAAAGCCTGTGTATGTTCTGATTCCCCCTCCCCCCAAAGTTCAGATGCTGAAATAGTCTCTAGGACGCCGCAGGGGGTGGGCAGCAATGCAACCAACTATCCGTGGCCGCCTTTAGCACACTTCTCGCCGCGCCGGGCCCGTGCGAGCAGCAGAACGCTGCCGATAATATGATCGACCTAGCCAAGACGCTCAACAATAGTGCAAATATGATTGCACTCACCCAAGTGTTTGCCCAGCAGCCCCGCAATACAGTGAGTGGTTGTGTGTGATTCATCTCACGTCATGTTCAACTATTGTGTTATTTTTATCCAGCCTACCTCCTTGAGTGTTCCATACTGCCAGCAGGCGCCGAGAAATGCCGAGCTAAACGGATTGTTCCAATGTCAATTTGCGGGCGCGAACCCGAAGACATTTGTTGGTGGGATCGCTGTTGGGCAGCCTGGGACCATTCCCTTTGGGGCTACCTCACCTCTAAGCCCTCCCGGTTCCTGTCCTGCCAACCCCAGCGGCCCCATCGCGGATGGGACCCAGTTGGTAGACGCTACGCAAAACCCTGGTGTTGCCGGCGGGGCCCCAAAGCAGAATAATGGTGCCAACACACAGAGTTCTGCGCCTGCAATCCAGCCCCCGAGTCAGACCGCAGCTCCATTACCTGCTAGTAGTCCCTCAGCCTCCCCTGCCCCCAAAGCAGCTCCTTCAGGCAATTTCCAGTTACAGAATGGAAAGGATGCTCAGCAGCTCAATGCCCAATTCGCCTCCCTGACCGCGAATTCTCCATGCAATGGTGAGCTCCTCCTCGCCCCACTCTAGCCATGCTAACGGTTGGAAAAAGACGGCGATGAAGCATGCATAGGCACCAGCTTTGCACAGTGTGTTGGTGGGA